GTAATACACGGTTACACACCCTTCTCTCCATTATACCTCATTACCCAGGTGCTCGGGAATCGCCGCAGACGCGGTTAACCAAAAGCAAGGGAATGAGTGTTGCCCACAATGTTTCCAAAGTCCTTATCAATCTCCTGCCCTTTTCCTCTGCCACTCTCCACAAGTCAGATGGAGTCCGTCTCCCTCACATGCTTTCACACACTCCAGGTAAAAATAGGCCCTGATAGGTTGACATGTTACCACAGCGCTGTTTGCCCCCGGCTACTTAACCTGAACCAGATTCTGTCCTCACTTATATTCCTGCTGATTGTTGTATGAAAACAACTCTATTCACATTACAAATGTTTAATGGTATTTTAATGTGCTTGTTTATCTTTTTGAGTTTAAATTTAAAGGCTTTTGAATTTAGATCACCCTTAGGACTTCCAAAATGTAGATGAGTTTGGATCTTCATAGAAACAGATTTGGAGAAATTTAGCATTCCATCACTTGCTCACCAATGGATCCTCTGCAGTGAATGGGTGCCGTCAGAATGAGAGTCTAAACAGCTGATAAAAACATCACAATAATCCACAAGTAATTTCACTGGAGAAATTAATATTATGGATAGAGGACTCGTATTTCAGCTGGAAGCAACAGTTTGTATTTAAAAACATGAATTTGTTTACCACAAACAGTCAGCTTTTTATTTCACAAGATGTTAATTGATTGGCTGGTGTCATGTGGATTACTTGTGGTGATGTTTTTATCAGCTGTTTGGACTCTCATTCTGACGGCACCCATTCACTGCAGAGGATACTTTGGTGAGCAAATGATATGCATGCGAAATGCACAATTTCTTCAAATCTGTTCCGATGAACAAACAACATCTTGGATGGCCTAAGGGTAAGTACATTTTCAGCAAATTTCCATTTTTGGGTGAACTATTCATTTAAATGTTTTATTTAAATGTTGTACCTTTCTCCTATCCCAGCATAATATCCTTTTGTTGATTAAATTCTGCGAAAAATTGGTATCAAAACTCTTTGTTGTTTGCTGCTTTTTTTTGTTTGAGTGGCTCAACCAATGGCGTGAATTTGGATGACCAATGGCAGATGAGAGAAGTGTTTGGGAAACTTAAGTCCTTATTTTTGCAGTTCGGTTTAAATTGAAGTCGAAATAAAGAGTCCAAAAGGTATAGGATTTACTTCAGTAAGAAATTACTAGTAAATTTAATAAATAAATAATTACAAAGAAACGGCAAAGTAACATTTAATTAAACATGAAACTAGAAAAAAGTAGAAAGAATGAAATATACTCCACTAATCTGTTTTTAATTTTTTTAATTTTTTTTTTTTTTTTTTTTTTTACAGTGCATTAGAAAGAAAGGAACACATCTGAGCAATAATATTTTCCTCTGGGCTCCAAAAACTCATTAGATCTCATTGAAGTCCATATTTGGTTGAATTTCTGTCATTATATGTTTATGTCATGAAGCACTTCATACCTCGGCTCTTAGTTTAGAGTGATGAAGTCTAGTAATTTGACAAAAGCTTCACATTAAAAAAAGCCGCAGTAGGAATATCACACCCACATTTTCACTGAAACGACAGAGGATCTTCCAAAGATAATTCATTCTTTCCTGTCACATACTTGACAAACAAATTGCAATGAATCCAAGAATGACTAGCTTGGCTTTGAGAGCAGTTTATGGTGAACATTTGCGTAATTTTCACATCAGATGTTATTCTGATCCACCCCAGACTACAATCAGAGTCAGACACAATTCCAGATCCTATCGTGACTGGAATTGGTAATGGCTAGAGAATGAAGTCAGGCCAGACTTCAGGAGAATCAACACCGACAAAAACAACATGCTCTGTGTTCACTGCTGTTTCTTTGACTCTGTTTCACTTAACCAGTGGTTTCATCTGTTTGTATTCGTGCTGTTGTTTGTCTTTCATCCTGTCATGGCGTTTCTGTGGCAGAGAGCCTCATCCAGTTTGAGTTTAGGCGTACATGTTATCTGTCAATAGCACACTGATGAAGAGGTGTTTATTCAAGTTGCTACGTTACAGACCACTGTCATAAACAAAAAAAGCGGGTTGGTGATTGAAAGCAGACATTAATCAGAGGACACATCGCTCCATAACTGATTAACAGAAGTGTTACCTACCCTTTTAGTGAAATACCCGTATTAACTAAATGACAGACAGGGCCATTGTCAACTGTCAGTCAGATGGTTGTTTCTTTTAAAGCTATAGATACCTGCCAGATTCCTTAGTGCAGTGAGTGATTGACAGGTGAGTGGGCGGTACTTCGGTGTTGTCTGGGACTCATCTGAACGGATTAGCAAATGCCTCACCAATGAAATTAGCATGTGTTTTCAACAGCTTTGGAATGTGGTTGAAACAGATGAATCTTGAGATATTTTGGATCCCGATTAGCTGTATTTAGTGTAGTCTGGTTTTAATGGGTTTCATATAATTTGATGTTCTTGTGCTTGTAAATATCTCATTATGATATACTGTTACCAAATCTTGATTCTCTCTTTTTTTTCTAACTTGTTTTCTTTCAGTTAGCGTTTGATCATTTGTATTTCTTTTTGGAACTGATTGCATAGGCCTCATTGATCTGAGCTTATGCATCTCAGTTTTTCAAAAAGGTGTAAATATTTTGGATATTTTTTTAAGGATATTTGTATACCCTGTGTGAGCAAAGTCAGCAAGTTATATATATATATAACTGAACTCATAGTTGTTGAGATACTAGAATCTCTTCATATTAACTCAAATATTTCTTATTAAATAAAAGACCAATGATCTGAGCTCCTCTAATTCTTCTTTAATTTCTTTGTTAAATTGTTTTTCTCTTAATGACTGTTTTAAAAGAATCATCGGAAACAAAATTGATACATGATGATGAAGAGTCACGTTATGTGGTGGAGGAGTCACGTTATGTTTTTTTTTTTTTTTTGTACCATGGTCTTCTGTCTGAATACTCAATTCTGATTGGCTGGCAGGTATGCATTAAAACGGTTTAATGCACAGGTAGTTCCAAGTCAGTTTAATCACTATTTAATATTAATGCGCTACTTTTGTTGATTCACACAAACACACACATCACTCACACACAAACACACACACACACACACACACACACACACACACACACACACACACAC